GAGCATTAAATGTAGGTAAAAAAAAAACTAATTACACAGTTTGGTTGTAAATCACGAGATGGATCTTTTGAGCCTAGTTAGTCCATGATCGGACAAAGTTTGTCAAATACAAACGAAACGTGCTACAGTGTCCAGGTTGCAAAAATTTGCAATCTAAACAAGGCCTCACCTTGCTATGATCAGAAGAGCCTAATCATTCAGAACACAACAGAAAACTAACAGAAACATTCTGATACTTTTCTGGATCTCAGTCTCAGGAAGGCAAATGCACAGCTAGGTCATGCGAAAGGGATCCTCACAATGACATGATATATGCCTCCTGGTCACCAAAGTCTCTCCATGCCCTCTGGATTCTTATGATTTCTGTGAAGTTCACACAAAAGGATGTAGTAGATAGGTAAGCAGTGAAGAAATGTTTTATAGCAAAGTACATAAATAGGAGTTCTCACTTGGATAGGAAGGTAGAGCTTGAACTCAGGCGGCAGCTCCTCCTCTGAGTAGAGGCGGTCAGAGAAGTAAATTCGGCGAAGTCGGCAGTTTGCATGAACTTGCACCCGCAGCGTCTCGACATAATTTGTGCCATACGCCCTTTTTGTCAGATCAGCGAGGTTCAACTGAATGTTGTTCCAGCCATCATCAAGCCTCAACGGCATTGTGCAGATATATGGCTTCACCCTTGTAACAGACTGCAAAGAGTTTACAAGTCAGTGTGATTGCATGCACAGTGTGTACACACAATTTAGGTGCCTCGTTTTTTTAAATGGTGAAAAAATGGAAGGGATAAAATACATCAACCATTCAACTCAAGTGCAACCATGCAAAAGAAAGTGCCAATCAACCTAACTCCACCGCACTAAATAATAGATCAACCATCACGATTACAGTTATTTTTATGAAATGCCTAAAGGAAAAAAAAAGGTGAAATATAAGACTAAATATCTGTATGCAGGCTGCAATTTTTTCAGAGTCATAATGTTAACACATAGCAAAAAAATTTATATACACCGCATGTTTGACTTACGAGGGCATTAAGGACTAGATTGACAGAAGTCCATGGGTAGAAGGATGCAAGTGGGTATCCAATGGTGTTTTTTCGGTCAGCTAACTAATTATAGTCAAATGACATTCTAGTTCATTTCCCTCCTCACTCAAATAGTCAAATTACGTGAAATGATATTCTAGTTCATTTGAGCAAGTTTTTGGGTCCATACAATGTAATTAGAACTTGCATCCCTAAGTAGAAGTTTGCAGGGTATAATGATAGGTCGTATGTTCCAGTTTCCCAAAGCCCAAGGGTTAAGGTGAAGCAAAAGACATTTGTAGAACGGATTGCATTTACACCACTCAAAGATAGAAAAAAGTAATAGAAGAATAAAACTTGTATAAAGTAGAAAGATTGCAGGTACTGATTGCCAATCCAAGAACTAGTATATTTCTATTATTATTATTTCATTACAATCTATGTTCTTAGTATGAAATAAAACTGCAAGTATCAATTGTTTATCCTAGAACCTCATACCGTTCCACCATTTATTCACTATGATCTAAGTTCATGTGAAATACTGTTTATGGATAGCTGGCGGTGTTTAACAGAAAGGATCAACAAAACTGAAGTTAGAAAGGAAAAGGAAATGTAAAGGATTCATGAAGCAGAATCAAATCAATCAGATAAGTAAGGCACACAATTTATTTCTGCAGAAAATGGAATGATCAGCAGCTCTTACACACTTGAAAATTTGATGCTCGAAATCGACGTCGGACGTTCTTGTCATCCAGAACTTGGATCTCAAACGTGAAGTATTTCTTAAGATTTTTCACAATAATGGCCAGAAATGGTAGCTTAATCCCAAGAGTAGCAGAAGGATCAGCTGGGCATGTGATGTAAGTTGACTGTACATTTGTTCCAATGATTTCAAGTACATTAGATTGGATATCTTCATCTTGAGGTCGTTTAATGTGCCCATTCACAACTGCAAGTGGATAAACCATTAAGAAACAGAAATGGTACATTTGACACATGTTTGCGGTAAGTCAGAATGAAGCACATATGTATTTACTATTTATTAGGTCCCAGGCTCCCAGCAGAAGTTAAAATAGCAGGTTGCAGTGTATGTACTGATGGACAAGTTCACACTTTCATGTCAAATATTTCATGAAGATTTTACTTTGTTGCTGGAAGACAATGATCCAATGATATTCTAGCAGATGAAGTTCATACTTTCATAATCTATCCCACACACTAAGTGAACAAAAGTGGAGAAAGCCAGCATCAGAAGCAGATAGTGCTTTAGCAGCTAAAAGCTCGAATCCTAACCAAATGAATCGATGCTCTTATTTCGTGTCAGCACTCAGAAGAACAAGATGGAACAAAGGAAAGAAGTATTTGAGTATTAATAAAGAGGACAAATCAAGAAGATGACAAACCTTCCTTGTCCCATATCTGCAATGGCTTGGTCCTGAACAAATCACAATAGAAACACATGATATATCTTGTTAAGATGCATGATAGCAAAAGGAGACTAATATGGGATCACCAAACTACGTACCCGAGGCTATAAAGAATGGACAGGAACCCAGACTGAAATGTATTCTTGAACATGTTCTGAAGCCTGTAAGATCAATTCAACTGCAAAATAAATGAACAGAAAAATAAGAAGAAGAACATCTTCATTCTGCAATCCACAATAATGTCGGTGTCAGACTGTCAGCTAGGCACCCAGCATTGAAATCTTGAAACATGACAATGGTTTGAGAATGTGATAACATGCTATTTCATTCCTTTGATGGCACACCATCGTTAATTAGACTGTTGCATCCTCAAGAGAACTATTATAAGTAAAACTGCATCAGCAGTGTTAATAGCAATAGTTGAGACATGTCATTAGACAACAAAACAAATGTGATTGTTAGATTTTTTTTTTCTAAGGTGGCTTCCTAATCCCCTGCCAGGGGCAGACCCAGTAAAGGATATGTGTACACCCAACTTTTGCACAAAAAAAATCGAATTTAATTAGGTATAATATAATACATATAAAAACTTGTAACAAAATCAGATCCGAATACAAATACCCTACCGAAATAGATTAAGTTAGGGTTCGGGTGCTCGGTTTGGCACAGCAGGAAGGGAAGAGAAGGGGCGTGCGGTCGACGGCGAAGGGTCCGATAAATACCTGGCGAAGGAACCGACGAGGCTAGACCCGAGCACGTGGCGTAGGGCGACGGCGGCGGTCGCCTAGTTGAGCGACGAGAGCTCGCGCGCGTGCACGGAATGACGCGGTTGACGGGAGAAGAAAAGGCAGGATGTTAACGGAGCTCCCTAAAATCTTTTGTGGGCTTGTAAACAGGGCTGAATATCTACAGGCCCAAGTCAAAATCGAATTGTCCAATAAGATCGGTTTGGATGTTGTAGTCTATCTGAATATTCGAGGCCTGGCATGTGAGGCCATGTACTCCTTCCGTCAAAAAAAAAAAAAAAACACGCGATAAAATATCTCATATTTAACTAACAATATATATATAAATAGTTCATGATATTTTCATAATATATTTATTTGTGTTATAAACATTAATATTTTAATCTATATATTTAGCAAAACTTTAAGCATTTTATTTACCCAAGAAAATGTATCTAAATTGTTTTTTTCCTAGATAGTGGTAGTACAACGCAAGGACGAAGGCGCTTGGGTGTAGACATCAGTGATATAAAACTAACTAGAAGAACGCCCCGCGCGTTGTTGCGGGAATCGCTGGTGAAATTATACTACTTATATTTATTAATATAATTGAACAAATATCATAATACATGTTAGTGGATGATTTTTAGCATTCTGATATGAACAATTAAATATATGTTAGTAGATGATTTGGTTTGCTAATGTGAGTAGCTTAAATGAAGACATAATGGCATATGTTAGTTGGATGTGTTAGTGGATGCTGATGTGAATACTTTCTATGGTGAGATAGTTGAATGTGCTAGTGGAATGTTCTAGTGGATGCTGATATGGACACTTTGCATGGCAAGATAAATTACTAGTAGGGTTTATCTTTATAAGAGATATGTGACATACAATGCAACATAATAATTGGTGGTGCATTCATAGCAATTGACGCATCTTATATACACAATGTAGAGCGCAGAGAGGCAAAATGGAGAAAAAATTGGCAAAAGCCTATGTATTATTTACCAAACACATGTTGAGAGCACCTCCCACATCATACATGCGCAAAATGTCTAGAGCATTTAAAAAAATATCAGGAGAGGGCTGAACAAGGGGAAAAAAAGGCAACCAACATGTATAAAATAAATAAATCAGCAAAATGGCTCAATAAGGCAAAAAGAGAAAAAGAAATCATGGCTCAATAAGCCAAAAGAAAATAAAATGCTGAAAAAGGGTCCGAAGAAGCAAATGGATCAAAAAGACAAAAAAATAAAAATCATTGCTTAATAAGGCAAAATGAAAATATAAAATATATTAAAAAATTAAAAAAAAACACATGGCTCAATAATAAGACAACAGAAAAAAGTAAAGAAATCAGCAAAATAATTAAAATACGCTAGAGGAACGGCAAAATCATTGCTTATTAAGGCAAAATGAAAATATAAATATATTAAAAAATTAAAAGAATTATGGCTCAATAATAAGACAACAGAAAAGGTAAAGAAATCATCAGCAAAATAATTAAAATACGCTAGAGGAAGGGCTTGAACCTTCGACCTTGTGGTTAACAGCCACACGCTCTAACCAACTGAGCTACTCCAGCTAACTTCACTTGTGCACAATTATTATTTTATTTAATAATGCAACTCTATCCCGACTATAATAGTAATAAACGCCATCCGAGCCGTACACGATCCGCGACGGGAGTGTGTCCGCGGCCCGCTTTCCTCCGCCGTGTCAACATCAACAACATCGTGACGCTAACGCCCAGTTCGTGGAAGAGGAAGATTGGAAAAACACCAGGACGAGAAGCGATCGTAGCGAGGCGACGACGACAGCGCCATGAGCTACCAGAAGGTCCCGGAATCCTATCCTCCACCAGGCAAGCCGGCCCCCTCCCCCCATCTCTCCTCCGTCTTCTCCAATCCCTGCACCGACTTCCGTTTTCTCGATCTGAATTCCCCGGTCAGAGATCCCCTCCTCTTCGGCTCCAATCCGTCGGCCACAGATCGAGTCGTCCGTCACCCTTCTGGGAGTCGGCTCGGCATGAATTCACCGGGCAATGCGGCGCCGGATCTTCTCTCGGTTGGTTGAAGTTTGGAAGGCCCCATTGTTACTGATCTGATCAAAAAAAAATTGGAACTGTTTCTGCAGGGTACTCGCAGCCGTACCCGCCGCCGCAGGCTCCACCGCAGGGGCCTTACTACCCGCCGCCGCAGCAGCAACCGCCTCCAGGGTACCAGGGCTACTTTAACAACGGCCAGCAGCCCTACGGCTACCCGCCGCCGCGCGATGGACATCATCATCACGGCCACCATCACCACCATGACGACCACCATCACCATCACCATGGTCACCACCATCACCACTACCACCACGAAGACGATGACTGCTGCCTTGGCTTCCTGAAAGGATGGTAATGCATGCCTTCTCTTTTCTGATCACTTAGGATAGAAAAAGGAAATCATCTATCTTTTCTGATCACTTAGGACAGAAAAAGGAAATCATCTATGTTTTAGCTATTTGCATAGGAGTAATAGTCTTGTGCTGATCAATTTATGTTTTTATACAAACTGATCAATTTATATCAGGGGAAATCAGTAAATCTGCTGTCTAAATAATCAATATTTTAACTGGGCTATGTACAATTGGTAAAAAAAGGAACAAATTTGGTTTGTGCAATCTTCTTGATGAAAATGGTATAAGCTTTGTTCATGTTCTAGCCATACTGAAAACGTATATTGATTTGTAAAGGTGCAAATTCATCTCTGTGTTGAAATGGCAGATAGCCTCAAATGCTAAGTTATATCGTGAAAGCGTAGTAACATTTCATTCGTTCATGTTCCCTTGCTTGGTTAGTTGCCTTACATTTTTTCTGTTTGTGCATCTTTTCTAGGACTAATAACAATGAAATTATTATTTGCAATAGTTGAAAGAATGTAAACAGGACTAATTACTATGCTTCTTGTAAACTTATTTAGACAGGTTGTATCTGTATGTTGACATGTTACGGGTTTAATGGACGACCTTTCTTGGCCATGGAATAGTATACAGTATTGGTGTATGGTGCATGCTGAGATTGTGGAGATTACACCCTCTGATTCAAAATACATGTTTAGGACATTGATAAGGTCTACAAGGTCAAACCTTGATCAATGATTTCTTTAAAATATGACATTTCAAACAAATGCAACTAAATGTTTTGAAAGTAGTTCTCATGTAGTGAATCTAGAAACATATATCTTGAATTGTCAATCCATGTAATCTTTTATATATTTGTAGTCACAGTTAAAAAAGTTTGACCGAAGAACCCTAAAACATGTACTTTGAATAGGAGAAAGTGCCTACTATGATCTGTAGTTTTGTATTGATTATACTCTGGCCCACACAAACATAAGTTAGTCTGCAGTCTCAATACTTTATTTTCACATAAAATGCTGCACTCTCATTATATTAGGTCAATGTTATCTAATGTGTACATCAATTACTACTGTTGACCGAAACAACACCTCCTTAACATGGTCATTTAACTAATTTCAATATACATGTGAAGTTGAACGAGGAAAATAACACACACATTGCCAGTGTGTTAAGCATTTCTGAACATGCTAAAGTTTCTGAAATATGGCAAAAGAATTGATACCTCGATTTATCTAATCTCTCTATGGTGTTGTGGCCTTGTGGGGCAAGTAATGTCGCCTGAGAGTAAGTTTGTGCTGATATTGACTATGTCTTGCGAGAGGCTGCAGCATGACTATTTTCATCATAACCTATATGTCTTGAGAAAGAAACATTGTAGT